TGGGCGTGGTCCCTTTTTCCACGTAAGCTCCGTTTATCGAATGATCGCCGTAGATCGATCAATCCGCACGCTTTCAGAGATATAGACATATTTCTTCCGTGAAACGGAACAGGAACACTTGCCGTTTCCTTTCGACATTTTAATCTATCGACAATGCCGGTGTCATTGAATATTTACCCTCGTTCCCGATATTTATGCCGCACGTTTTAAATAAATAACCCGTTTGCTCGCTCGTCTAACGTTCTTTTACAGAGCCCTAACACGGGCTGAAACTGAGAGGAAAAGTTATTACCCAATTATGAATTTTCTAATCTAAAATGAGATACAGCAGTGACACTTAATATTTTCGCTCTAATCAGAGATAAAATAGGGGGATTAAGTACGAAACTTACGATCAACGTGATTGAAAAATTGAAACTCGAAGCATTACCCGAAGTGCTTATCGACAATGATAAAAATTGGAAAATTCTAAAATAAGAACTCAAATATCGATCACACGGTTTATCTTCGATTTGACACCTTTAATCCTTATATTCGAATAAATTTTTTATTCGAAAAGGTGAGAAAAATAAAGAGGTATGAACCTACTTTTAATATTCTTTATCACCAGTAACGAGACGATGATCAATAAAAATATAAATCTAACGTGAAATATATATGATACGTCAAATGGTGCAAGAGGCATGGAAAAGAAACGAGCAGTTCTACGACCCTAAATGTCAGCAATAAAATTTATCGCGCGTAATAAATCGGTAAAAATGCATATTCCCTATTTCTCCAAGTGTCCCCTTTATTTATTTCGCAAAAGTTCCCCCACCTCCGAGAATCAAACGAATAAATTCAATCGCCGTTGAGTACAATTTCACTGAGCCTAGATTTAAGAGTTCGCGCCCTTGTGCCACTATATCGAACGAGCATAATCGTGTGGAAACGGTATTCATTGCGCATATTCCTGTAATTCAACCAGGCTTACGTCCGCTTTCCTGACCTTGCATGTCCGCGAAATCCTTTTATTGTCAGGCGTATGATATTTTGGCAAGCTGCGTGCACGAAGGCCGATTCGCGTGTAAATTACGAAGGAGACGTGGTTACCAGCACGACACGGGCTGGCCGATTTCATCGTCGGGCTTTGTGTTTTGACAGATCATTGGTATGATAAGAGAGAGACATTCCCTTTATTTGCAAGAGAACAAGATCTTATGTCGTAGAATAAATTTGTAGGCACGTAGAAGATCTCTCTGGTGCACCTTGGACATATTGGGAACGAAATTCGATTTGGCTTTTAAAAGCTAATTTTAACCTTGACTAACTTATTCAAATTTTTAACGCAACACAGTGATGACAGAAATAATTAATTTATCAAAAACTTATATAACGATAATAAATTTCAGTGAAAATTAGAATACATTTTAAATTGCTAAATTAATTTTTATTCTTAAATTATTGGATCGCGAGAATTAGAATATCTTCATGTTAGAATAAATTAAATTTTCGGTAGCGTTTATCTATCGTCTCTTTTTTGGAAAAATTTATGACGACTGTCATAATAGATTCAACGTAGCTTGCCAAAAATGCCACATCATTCGAAGCATTTTATTTTACACATTTTGGCCAATATTCAACATCCTGCAAGCTTTGGCATTTTGGCTCTTTTGGTTTCAGGAAAAAGGAAACTTTTCGTCATAATATCAACCTTTCTAGGTTCATAAAAGACTACGAACATTTTGAATTTCGCGATGGCTCATGCCGCGCTTCTTAACCTAAAAGTCAACAGTCAACAATATCCAATTTATCGTCAATTCGCACGTACCACGTACCATAAAATCTCTCGTTTATTCCACATACCATTACCTAATCCACTAAACAAATATTCTTCACGACCCATTCTCTCCATGTTTAAAAAACACGAATTCAAACAAAGATTCCGATATTTCTTCAAAAAACGACCACCACCCCCACTCCGAGATTTTCCTAACAACGAATCGATATTCGCAGCGATTAATAGCATCCTTACAATTAGCAATCATTACGAGAAGTAATTTTCGCCTGTACGCACGCTTCCATGAAATCGATTATCACGTTTGCTCAAGACAGATCGAAATTGACGGTCCACGAGCATGCGGAAAAAATATTTTCCCCATCACGTAATGTCTGGTTTTCAATCGTGGAACGTGCTACCAGTGCGTCACGACGAAACCCGGCGGCGCAGGAGTTTGTAAAAGGCGCAGCCACCTAGACGCCCACTAGGAGGTAGGTGTCTCCTTTTCAAGTTGACCGCAGTCTTTTTACGGTCTCGACAATTTTCTATAAGGTTCCTTTCCCTCCGTGTGCACGTCCCTGTGCGAGCATTGTTGCACCAGATCGCCTGAAGCACGCGAATGATGGACGAGTCGCTTTTCTTTTGCCACCGTAGATACACGGCAAAGTTGTGCAAAGGAGTTCAGCATCGTGCATGTTATCGGCTCGTTATCCATCAACTGTACGTGCAACAGACGCACGAAATATTTTTCATGGGTAAATTTGTCGACATTTTTCTGACAAATGCATATCGAATTATTAGAGACACAGAGGAGATTGAAAATAAACGAGGATTGGATTAGGAGTGGTCCATAATCGGCTTGTTGAGACGAGTTGAGATATTTCAGAATAAAGTCTGTTGGGATTCTGGAGGTAGTTATTTTATATTAATATTGTAGATTTAATCGAAGACAATCTTGGAAAGGTACAGGATCTCGTACAGTGCTGTAGCGTATACAGTAGAATAGATCCTTGAATGGCGATCGCTATCTCAGGTATCGAGATTTCGTTACCAGAAGCGTACACGCAGTATAGTGTTAACCCCGATCTATTAAGTTACGACTGTTTCACTGTCTATTTGCTGAAAAGATCTCCTTTGTCTATAAATGAGAATATAAAAATTGGAAGCTCGCGTGTAAACGCGGAAAATTTTCTATCACTCTGTCCCCATATCTTCAACCTTCGTTTCCTTGTGAAATTTCGGAACTCGAAAATATCCTTTGGAGCTTTCAGAAAAATGAAAATACTAAAATTCCTGGGATCTGTTTTCTGAGAGAAAACGAATAGAAATCGAAAAGTTTAAGCAGAGTTTTCATTCCGCGCGTAAAATTGGGTAATATCCCGCTATCCCTAATTTTCTCTTCTCTGTAAAATTCAACGGCTAAAGGAGAACTTTTTGCACGGAAAATTAAGCTAGTTGGAAATATCTTCTCGCACGAAAATCGAAACGCTCAGGAACGAGGTGTTTCCACGATCGGAGAAGCGGAGGATCGTAAATAAAAGTGATCACAGGAAACGGATTCTCGTTAAAAAATCCGGCGTGGACGAAAATGGCCAAGAGCAGCGAAAGACCATTCTTTTCTTTCGACATGGTGCAATAATTCACTAAAAATTTATCGCGCGTGCAAAGATGTCGATTCTATGTGGCAATCATAAAGTCCGCCACGGAAATCGCGACAGCGGGACCGTTCTTTGTCGCTCTTCTGGAAAGTGACGTAATTCGTAGGAAGAAACACGTATGCAGACCTGGATATTCGCGGGACGACCTTATCGGCGATGATTCACCTGATCATCCATCTTGCTTTCAGTGTGGGCACACGATATTTTATCGAACGTTTCTGCCGAAACAACGGAACATGGAAAAATGAGAAATATTTTCCCGCCATCACATTATTCGCGAATTTTGCATTAGGAATCGATGACTTCATTCTCTACGACTTCACGAGCTTTTTAAAAATGGCGCGAAATATTTTTCCAGAATCTTAAAGTTACAGTAGAATATGTCACATTGTATTATGTATTTTAATTTATATCCTATGTCGGAATTAGTATCGGTGCCTAAATATTACGATATTCTAAATATAAGAAAACCAGATGTCTGAAAATTTTTTATTCTTGAAAATTTAAAGAGTGTGAAATAAAATAGATATAAAACTGTTCTTGGATCCTTTATAATTATTGCAATTATTTCTTTTTGAAGTTACAAATATCTATCAAGCAAAATAAGATCTATGAGGATCCAAAAATTTTCAAAAAGTATGAGGACTTTAAGTATTGGAATATTTTTATTCCCGAAGGTTCCCGAAGGTTTGTAAAACTCCTGAAATAAAGGTTGCATGAAAAGTCTTAACACTGTTCCGAATATCTCAGCCCCTTTAGAGTTCTCGATATTCGCAAAGGACTCGAGACACTGAGACCTCGAGTTTCCGAAACCTTCTTACCTCTTCGAATGCTTAATAACATTCCTATTGCAAAACAGTGTTCGAAGCAGTCTCGATGACTTACATTTTCGTTAATTTTTCATCGGTAATACTCAGGTCTGTCTTATCAGGGAACCGTGGAAACCTCGTCGAGTATCTGCAACGATCGTACACCCTTTCCCAGATCGAAGTGTTCTCACGACTCAATCATGGCGTCGATGACGATCTCCTTTCAGCGATCGACGCCTAGTCAGCCGGATATCGACCCTTTTTTGGTTATCACCTCGATCGATCTCGGTTCAGAAAATTTCTGGAACATTACCACCGGAGATACGCGACCTTTACACAAACGCGGCATTGTTCCTACAACACAATGATATCTATACTTTCTAGCAGCCATAACGTTTTCCTCGTACCATCGTAATAAATGAAAAAGATCCTCGGTCTCGGCTAGAACGATGGAATAAAACGTGCACGGCACATCCTGAACGTGTCTATTTTGGAATCGGTCATCCAACGTAAAAACCAGCGATTTGCAATTAACAATGACCAATCGTGCAGGCTGGAAGTCGCGAAGACGTGGAAGAAGTGCGTTAATTCGTAATACCTTTTAACGCGAAAATAATACGCGAAACGTTCGCTGACGTAACACCGCTAGGTGCAACGGTGACCATTGTCGATTAGCATACGCTGCTGATTAATCCAACGGCAACCGAGCTCGCAGTGGATACTGGATAGACCGGTAAACACGTGCAGCGCTATGAGAAGGATGACTCGAATTGCAGTGCGAGCCAGGCCGTCGTCACGCGTGCTACTCAGCCGTCATTCAGGTAGAAAAGGCACCTTTTGTCCCCCTGCCTTCGAAAATACTCTAGACCGCCGGAAACGCGAAATAAAACTCGAAAACGTCGCGTTGAATCATCGTCACTGAACGTGTCTCCATGGTCCCTTCCTCGTACCCTCTCTCTCTCTCTCTCTCTTTCTCTCTTTCTCTCGAGAAACGTTGCAATGGCGATTTTTCATCGAGCATCGTCGGATCGTGGTCGAGCTGTCTGTATAATGGTCGACGAAAAAATCTCATAAGGATGCTCAGTCGACCCGAGATTACGCCAGGAGGATCATCCCGGTTGACGAGAGTGCAAACACCGTGTCGATGGAAGTGTTGAACACGCTTGACAGTTTGATTGCAGAAGGAGAATTGCGGTTGACCTAACTGCGTCTAATGAAACACTAATCCCACGCAGCGTGGCGAATCGTTAACAATTGTATATTATACACGAGTAACATTGCCGTGTACAGTACTGTCGATTCGATTCATCGCAGAAGGCTAACCGACTCATTCGATGCAAAATTGTCTTATTGAGACGTTGGCGAGAATGAGATAATTAAAAAGTAATACGTTCGCGAGTCGCTTCGGCGTGAAGGTAGAACCGAATATCGCGTGCCAGGTATAAAATGATATTTCTGGGATGAAAGAGTTGCCTCGAAGAAGGGGTCAACTTGTCGAAACCCGATACATTTCTTCGACCTCGTTTCACTTTTCGGCTATTCCAGTTTGACTCTCGACAGAGGCCAATCAGGTGGTCCAGAAATTTTCCACGAGGATCACGGTGGCTCTTTTCCGGTTAGAAAGCATCGAATCCTTGATCTTCGTCTAAGTACACCGGAGAACACGTTCCGTCTGCGTACTATCGTCGAAATTCCCGGCCATAAACCCACGCGGATGCTTATAGTGCATCTTAATTGCCATCCCGTGTGTCTCTTATGCAACCATGCTGCTTTGATCGGCCCACGCGAGCAACAAGCATTGCCAAAAATAACACCTTACGAGGTAATACAACTCTCCGTTCGTAGAATACTCTCTAAGTGCTCCCAATCACTACTGTCAATAACTCGACGTATCCGCGAAAAATTCCTTAGACGAAGCCTCCAGGGATCCTAAAAATCGTTCAAAGCTCGCTATGATCCATCGACAAAGAACAAGTCGAATACGTCGGTCTAGAATCGAACAGAGAAGAATGGCTCAGAATTTCATTGTCACGCATCTAGACCTGTCAAAGTTCTCAGACTAGAGGTCTCATTCCCAATCTTACTTACACAGGTATAATACATCAAACTTCAGTAGAAAACCCGAATTAACACCTACGCTAAATCTGTAACACGATCTGCTAGTTTCGTTATTAATTCGAGATTAACATCGCGGATATCGATAGATCGGTAATCAGAGGCTTCTTCGAGACCTAATTCCAATCTAGAATCGAACAAAAAGAAGATTCCAGAATTTCATTGTCACGCATCTAGTCTCGTCAAAGTCCTCAGATTAGAGGTCTCATTCGCAAATTTATGCACACATGCACACCAAACTTTAGTCAAAAGTTTGAGTTATCACCTAGGCTAGACTTCTGACACGATTCGCTAATTTCGTCATTAATTTGAGATTAACACCATGGATATCGATAGATTACTAATCGAGGCTTCTTCGAGGCCCAATTCCAATCTAGAATGGAACAGAAGGAAGAATGGTTCCAGAATTTCAAATCTGAGTTATCACCTAACCAATACCTCCAATACTATTCGCTAATTTCGTCATTAATTCGAGATTAACACTATGGATACCGATTAGATCGTTGATCGGAGGCTTCTCTGAGACCCAATTCCAATCTAGAATCGAATAGAAAGAAGAATGGTTCCAGAATTTCAAATTTGAGCTATCACCTAACCAATACCTCTAATATTATTCGCTAATTTTCTCATTAATTCGTGATTAACACCTAGGATACCGATTAAATCGCTGATCAGAGGCTTCTCTGAGGCCCAATTCCAATCTAGAACCGAATAGAAAGAAGAAAGATTCCAGAATTTCAAACCTGACTTATCACCTAACCAATACCTCTAATATTATTTGCTAATTTTCTCATTAATTCATGATTAACACCAGGGGTACCGATTAGATCGCTGATCGGAGGCTTCTCCGAGGCCTAATTCCAAACTCACCAGGACCCATGTCGGCGATTCCAAGCTTTTGGCCGACAGTGTACGCGTAACACGGAAAGTGTCCCGATCTGGGCCAGTCCGCGTCACCCCACCCGGCATCCGGTAATCCGGCGGTCCGCGTTAACCGATCTCTCGTTCCCCCTCGATCGTATCCCTGCGGCTCCATCTCCCTCGATGTTTGTTCCTCGGCCGCGCTTCCATCCGATCGGTAGGGTTTACTAAGAGAGCACGAATCCTCCGAAGGTTCAGTGCGAAACGCGCTCTCGAACTCGAAGGATCCTTCGCCTCCTTTGATCCCCCACTCGGCTTGTACGGGACGAAAGACAGAAAGAGAGAGGCTTTCCTTGGCTACGAACAACGAGTACCACGTCGACGCTGTTTTGCCGTTGCCGTCAACGCGGGAAACATCTCATCGATCCCTGGGTCCTCCATGAGCGCCGGTCTCGGGGCTCCTGCGTCGTTTCTTGGGACCACACGGACCTGATCTAGAGGATCCTGCACGTCGTCGAGAGGTACTGAGGCCTGAAGTCGACGGGATGATCGACAGGACGAGCTTGGTGGTCCTTCTTGGACTCCTGAGTCTTACTTGCGGCTTGCGTAAGTCTGATTTTCTGTGATGTTTCTTTGAAAATCCGGGGGGGGAGGGGGGGAGGATGTTGATGGCTACCATAGTATGTAGATTTGTAGGGTATTTGTGAGATTTTTTAGGATGAATAGTTGAACGGTTAGATATTGTTGGTGTGCAAGTTTGTGCGTCTACTCGTTGTTACCATTTTGTAAAAATATAAGTTAATGCTTATGGTTTCCTTTTCTTGAGACTGAGATTTTTTTTTTTTTTTTTTTTAAAATACTGATTAAACCGATGGTTTCGAAGTTTGGGAGTTTGCATGTTTGTTCACTGCTATTTTGTAAAAATGATTATTATTCGAGACTCAGGGAAACTCGTTAATGAAGACAGAAATAAATTTGGGGAGTGTGTTTGAAACCTTTTAGAATGGAAACTGAAAAGAATGTATATCTTGTAAAAGTGATTGAGGCTCAAAGAAGACCAGTGATATGTAGAAATATTAATACACAAGTGTCTGACATTTTTCGAAATGGAAACTGGTTAGGTTGTTTGTTTAAAAGCATATACATTTCCTCGTTGACGCGTTGAAAAATAGTTTACGTTTATGGAGGTATAAATGAAAAGGTGAGCTTCAGTCATATTAATGATGTAAACGCGGAAAAATGATAGTCGAGGTAATTTGGAATATAATAAATGAAAAATACTAAAAATTCTTGGAATAGCGACATTAGCAGAAATATAAATTCATTTTCTATGAAACCTTGCTTCGTATAGAGCATACATTTTTGTTGAAGAAAATGAAAGGAAATTAATTTATGTTAATTAACGTAAAATAATTTATTGTTCAACACCGAACAGATCGAATAATTATATTTTTAACGAGCAAGCGTTTGAACTACAGGGTATACCATAAATACGACTAGTAAAAAGGTTGAGATTCTCGCGAAGTTAGAAATCTCGAAATTATTAAATAAAATTTGTTGGGAAATCGATTGAAATTTCAGTCGTCTATTTTATACCACATTATCTCGTAATCTTGTACGAATTAATGTAATTTAAAAAACAGGAGGTCTTGTGCTCTTTTTTCAACTGGAAGCTGTTCGTGATTATGAATGAGATTGATGAATGGAGAGCGCCTAATGAAGTGTACTTAAAGTGTGCACTGCTCTATGTAGACAACTCGTGTTCCACGCTATTCGCGATATTCATTATGATTCGCAGCAAATCCTTGCAAATCTGCAGCTCACGAAATTAATTGCTCTACCTTTGTCTCTGTACATTTCGAGTACTCCATTCCCGCTGAATTGATCCTTTAATTTCTGCAAACTTTGAATACACCATCCCCAAAGTACCATACATGCCAGTCAATCATACCAAAAAAAAAAAAAAAAATGGTGTGAAATAATTAACTTTTTTTCCATAGAACTCGATTACTATACTATTATTACCATATAAAGTTTCTATCTCCTTTCTGTACATTTCAACGATTCTATTTCCATACGATTTACCTTTCAATTTTTAAAAATGGAAAATTCGATTATACCATTTCCAAAAGTACTTAAAATTCCAGCCCTTTATTTAAAAAGAAAAAAGAAAAAATATATGAAAAAATTTAAAAAATGGTGTGAAATAATTAACTCTTTTTCCATGAAACTCGATTACTATACTATTATTGCCATATAAAGCTTCTATCTCTTGCATGGGATTTACTTTTCAATTTTCTAAAATAGAACCCTCGATTACACTATTTCCAAGAGCACTTAAAATTCCACCCCCTTATTTAAAAAGAAAACAAAAAAATAAATATGCGAAGAAATTAAAAGAATGGTGTGAAATAATTAACTCTTTTTCCATGCAACTCCATTACTATACTATTATTACCGTATAAAGTTTCTATCTCTTCCATGCGATTTACCTTCCAATTTTCTAAAACAGAACCCTCGATTACACCATTTCCAAGAGCACTTAAAGTACCAGTTCCTTATTTAAAAAAAAAAAAAAAAAAAAAAAAAAAAAAAAAAAAAAAAAAAAAAAAAAAAAAAAAAAAAAAAAAAAAAAAAAAAAAAAAAAAAAAAAAAAAAAAAGAAGGAAAAAAGAAAAAACGAAGGAAAAGACGAAATGAGAAGAACGAGAAGAATCGTGTCAAACGATTGCTCTGCCATCAAGGTTACGTTAGCCTATATTCAAAGAAACTGTCGTTTCCTAACACCTGCAGACCAGCGTCTAGCCGTTAATTTCCTCCTTAATTGAAACGAGAGCCATGTAAGTACCATAATCGAGCGACGCCCATCGTCGTTCCCCGATCTTCTTCTCGTTTCACGCTGTTTCGTGATCGTTTCGCGTGGTATATCGGGAACACGTTGTCCTCTAAGGTTAGATTGCGCCATCGGCAACTGGAGCAACGATCCGTACAAGGACGATACCATTTGCGTCATTGAATCCGGTCGATCTTCGTCCGGTGGCACGTGAAAAAATCTCCGTGCATACGGATTCCGTGGATAGACGGTGCATCCACCGCCTTGTCTCTCTTTAGATCGGTAAACAGACTTTCGTTTTTCGAACGTAGCCGTGGAATCACGCGATTTGAGAAAATACGAGCAAGTCGCTCTTTCCGTTCTAGGAGCCAAGAGCTTTCTCCGTTCGACGGATACTCTGTCGAATTGTCGATTATTATTGGACGAAAAATCCAATGCAAATTCTGACCTTTCACTGGTATCGATCAGATCGTTCCTGCGAATAATGCTATCCCATCGGAAGCAGTTATGTTACGGGAAACAATTCACGGAAGCTGGATGTGGGGTTTGGAGGCGGAACTCTGTCAGTATCGAATGCTAATTCAAATGGTACCTGATTATAGCGAAATATAAAGAGTATATTTATCACTCGGGATTCATGAATTTTATCCGATCCTGGAAAGTTTGGATAATTGATTGGATCGACGTTTCTAAGACAGGTGTGATTGACGAGGTGCAATTTGAAAGGTATGTATTTATAGTAGCTTCCCTAACTATGCCATTTATCTTCGATTAAGTACCATCGATAATACGATTTCTTGAACACAGGTGTGTAACGATTATGCGGCTTTTATAACAGAAAATATGTAGAAGATTTGATCTTCGCGAAAGAAAGATATATCCAATACACGGATTAGGTATCAGCAATAGTCGATCTATCATTAACAGACTAATTTTATCGACTGTATCACTGTTAATTCGATTCCTGAATGATTCGCGTGCCATTAAAACGCTAATTTTTTAAATTAAATATACCACTGATAATTCGATTTCCCAATAATTTGAATGCCATCGGGAAACTAATTTTTTGAGGACGAGTATATCATCGAGAATTCGATATCCGAGTAATTAGCATAACAACGATGAACGAACTTCGGGAAAACGAATATCTAAAATTCGACGATTCGACAATTCGACTTCGAAAAATTTTGGAAAGTGATGATCCGTATAATCCTTTAGAATTCTTCGACGTTGTATTCGATATCCGAGTAATTAGCATATCATCGATGAACGAACTTCGAATATGTAAAATTCGACAATTCGATTTCGGAAAATTTTGGAAAGCGACGATCCATAGAATCCTTTAGAATTCTTCGACGTTGTATTCGATATCCGAGTAATTAGCATATCATCGATGAACGAACTTCGAATATGTAAAATTCGACAATTGGACTTCGGAAAATTTTGGAAAGTGACGATCCTTTGAATTCTTTAGAATTGTTCAACGTTGAGTTTTCTCGATAGGTTCGAGGGGTCAGCTTCGACGTTAGATGATCGACGCTTTCCACCGTTTGTTCTTCACCGTGAAAAAGGCTTTCTTCGGTGGCAGGCCCCGACATGAAGTGAGAAATTTATTAACAATAAAAGTCACCGGCTAATCCGTGACTTGTTTTCTTGTGCAGATCATCCTGTGCGTGATTCCTCCTCTTCTCGAAGCCGCAAGGCTGCGCGGCTATGTAAACGACTATTATAGCAACGGTTGCATAGCGTACGCGAAGGATGATGTCAACGGCAACGTTCAATCAATGTACATAACAAACGCATCTCCGAAGCTACTAATTTTTGGCTCGCTTATTTCTCACTCACGGCCACGGAAAATTACGCTCCGATCCCGTTAATCTCGCCTCGACTGTTCCAACCTATAAGTCATTCGAAGCATATCCATTAATAAAGTCGTAAAGTCGATATTGATAGATGAATAAAATATCGTGGCTCGTTAAATTCTATGCACACTTCGCTGACAGAATTTCGCCATTTATTTCACGGTGTATTTTAGCGAAGAAAATTTATGATTATTAGTTATTGTATTTCCCATATTGACTGACTTGAGCCCAGAAGAATTGAAATGAACGGTAAATAAATGGATTTCTCCTATTCAAAAAAGGAAATGACATGTTTTCTTTTTAAAAAGAGAATTTTGGATTGTCTTCATTGAAAAAAAAAATTAGAAACTTTGAAGGAGGAAGTAGAATCTTCTATTTTTAAGAAAGAAAAATTTTTTGATTTCCTTTCTTTTAGGAATACCTTTTCTGATAAAATTTTGGATTGACACCGTTGAAAGAAAAATTTAGAAATTTTGAAAAAGGAAATAGAATAATCTACTTTTGAAGAAGAAGAATTTTTTGATTCCCTTTCTTTTAGGAATACTTTTTCCGATAAAATTTTGGACTGACTCCGTTGAAAGAAAAAATTAGAAAGTTTGAAGGAGGAAGTAGAATCTTCTAATTTTAAAGAAGAAGAATTTTTTGATTTCCCTTCTTTTCGGAGTACCTTTTTCCGATAAAATAGCTGTAAAGTAATTTAAATATTATATTATATATTATAGACGGGAAATCTTTTCGCATGATTAATTTTCACTGATTTTTCATCGATTTCAGAATGCCCGAAACAAAGACAATCGCCTGGCAGAGAAGTGGTCTGCTACACTTCCGCTTCCAACGTGCAACAGCTGACAGAGGCTGTTTGCAAATGCACCACTCTGGTGCAGCAAGGCCACGACGTGCAAAATCTCTCGATTTCCGGTAAGTCCAAGGCATATTTCATCCTGGTATAATCGTAAATAATCGTATGCAGTGCTCAGGTTGATGAGTTAGTTTCAACGTAACGCGATGGTCGTTTAAAAGACAAATCCCTTGATTCTCGATAATCGCGACGATCAGAGCCAGGCGGTTATGTCAGATGATTTCTTATGCGTTACGAGCAAAACAAAACGTCGCGATATATCCGGAAAATGGAGAAGAACATCCTTGGAAATGGATTTCTAAACAATTTCCAGCGGTTAATGCTTCTCACACCGATCAATTTCAATGTCGAAACAACGCTTAAATCGAAAAATATAATTAACCACGTTCTACTGTAAAGCGAGTGTTTACTACGAAATAGTATCGCGTTCTCAGAATCTCTTTTCTTATTGAACGAAAAAACTGCAATGGCGAAGATAATTACGTTCATTAACGCGTTTAACTCGTAAGATACCATTGGGCTCAGGAAATGCTCGTTAAAGAAATTACGAGATAGCGTTAATGAAAGTAACGTTTTGAAAGTAAAAGTCCTTTTAATATATGGAATAATTAACATCGCTTTATCACTCGTATAATTGCTGGAAAAACCATTTTCCCGAAATAATTTTTCTTTCGTAATTCAATTCTCGAGGATATCATAGTCGACAATAATTTTGAATCGTTTTTAATTCGGTATATATATATTTATATTTTTGGGACAGGATCGTGATTAAATATTTATCAAGCGTTGCATGATTCATACGATTATACTTTTTACGATTGCATAAACGTAGCATCCATAGAGGTGCAGCTGCATCCTTGCACTTGCAACAGGATATCGGAATCCAACCACAACAAACGTATATTCTTACGTTCGGTGATATTTTTAGTCTCGAGAAATCGACTCTCGGCTTCCGTCATCAAAAGCTTCTGCTTACAAGTAATTTATAATTATTATTCCACCGGTATCCCTTGATTTTGACACGGACACTATGATTTCTCAATCAGGATGATCGATCAACGCATATTAGCTCCATAATTGAATGCTAATCAATGAAAATTGTTACACTGTTCGTAATTATCTGTGCATCATAATCGAGACGATCGTTTCCTGTTACTTGGAACATTTAAAAATAATCATTGTGTAATTACACGTGTACTCGAGCCCGTCATTTTTCGAGGATGTTGCTATCTTTATCATCGTGATTAATGGCTGCTTGTCATCGTTTTAATGAATCATGTCACACGAGTTCATTGTCTTTTCAACATCGATCACCATGTAACTGTAGCGATAACTCAGAAACAATATCGATCTACTCTTTGACAGCTATTAACCCTTTGCACTCGGCGATCTTTTCGTTACAGAAACATAGTAATTCGAAAACCTTCTGCCACAGAGTCGATGATATTTTCAAAACGGTAAATAATAAATGCAAATTAACAATAAGACATAGAATTATTTTACCTCGATATTCCACGTGTCATTGAGCAATTTTAAATTCGAGATATTAATTAATAACGATCTTTAGGGTTAATTAAAAAATTAAAAACTTCGTTGATTCGAAAGGAAATTAAAAAATTGCACCGTCTCGTCGAATTTCAAAATTATGGCAAAAACCAGAAATCGATCTTGGGAATTCTGCACCAAGCTCTCGAGTTTCAGAATTCTGTACGAAGATATTACAGAGATATTCAAAACCTGTACGATTGTACGGTTTCGTATGGAATTCGAGCGATGAAAAATCGCAGAAAAATTCGAATTACGAGAACAAAGTGGAAGACTTGCCTTGAACCGAATGAGCGAAAGAATCTAAAAGGAAAAGCGCGTTTCGTGTCGGAAGTGCGTCCGGAATGTATAAAATGGAGGCAAAAGCCGTGAGACGTCGCCGAAGTATTCATAGCAGACAATGCTCGATGAATATTCAGTCGCGAATCGATCGTGTCGATCTTCGACGAGCAATCGGACATGGTGAAAAGTCGATACTGAGAAGCTCCAATTTGCCAGCCGATTCGCTTCTATGGAGGAAGCAATGGCGTCAGGAGGATTACGTTGCGCCATCTCAGCTGTCAGTCCGATCTTCGACTGTCTGCCAGGCACATTTGCCTACCAGATGTCGAAATAGTTTGCTCGTTCAATTACCACGTCCAATCGATTTTTATCAATCCTGCAATTGAGCTGCAAACGAGCCTCTCGACAAAATTCCTCGAGCACGCTTAAGGATGTTTTCACTTTTACCTATCTTCGCGAAAGCTGTCGCCCGGCTGACCGGTTTATCTTTATTTTTCTCTCGTGTATTTTCTCCTCTTCGTTCTGGAATTTCGTCACGGAACGCATCGTGAGAAAATATGCGGCTATTCGTCCGATTCCCGTTCCACCTTGCCCGGTAACATAACCGATCATCGGTCTCTTCGATTTTCTCTCCCCGCACCCTGCTCGTGCGATTTCTGGCCGACTCGGATCGCCATACGCGACCAAGTCAATGCCGTAATTATTAAACGGTTGCAACAGCTTGTTTGTTCCATAAATCTCGGCGGCCCTCCGCAACCGCGCGTTCAGCGCGCAAAAATCGGATTGGGGAACGAAGCCGTGTTAAAGCGCGACCGGTTGCGCAAAAGCTCCCCGGTGGAAGCCGAAGACGAGGCGGGAGAGCGACGAGAAAGAAGGAAAAGCCGAAGAGAAAGAAGAGGAAGATGGAGGAAGGTTTCGAAATTTCGGCAAAATCGATGTTTTATGCGTAACGGATCGGCTGACGACGGTATGTCACGCGTGAAATTCGATATTCGTGGTGCAGACCGCGGATCGCGAGATCGGGCACGGGATGTGCGAGGGAAAAAAGGGAACGAAGTGGAAAGAGGCTGGAAAGGGAGGAAAAATCGGAGACGAGGACAGAAGTGTCTACACGTTTGTGACATAATCGAAAACGAGCTCCACGGTGATCCTTCTTTTTCTTCTTCTCCTTCGTTTCGCCGCCGCTGTTCCTCGCCATGAATGGTCCTCGCTCCGACGCCTCGTTTCGTGGAAAAAAACATCTTTTTGATAACGAACGGGCCAGAGTCAATTAAAATCCAACAGCCTGGTCGAATTGGAACGGGTTCGACGTGCGACTCGGCGCCTTCGACTCGTCTTTTCAGGAGCCTTACTAATTGGTCCGATTGCGTGATTCGATTGCGTGGAATTATTTTTGGTCCGTCGAGAATTATTTTAATCGTACAGGCTGAGGGTACAGCGAGAGGGGCGGAGCGAGAGTGCTCGATCTTAAAAATTGTTAACCTCGAAAGGCTCGGGATCGAGTCTCTTGCAGCATTAAATCGGTGTCTGAGAGTAATTTTAATGAAGTACCTCGCTTAATGAAGTACTAAGTGTACGCAAATTGGTTTGCATTGAGATGTAAAATGCATTAATCGAGGGAATTTGAGAAAGAATGTAATAATATGGCGGATAATTATCGTTACCCACTGTGGGGAAACCGACGAAGTATAGTGAGAATATACATATCTACAGTGACATTAGTGTATGCTATAATAGCATTTAATATTACCAAATGAGAAACAAGATACGTTTAAATACAGAAGCTTGACAGAAAATGCAATAATTATTATTAAACTCGTAATATCGATTAATGATATTATTGAATTTGTAATAATTCGAATTCCTGTCTTGTCACGGTGAAAATTTGACTGTGGGATAACCGATGAAGTAGAATAAGAATATACATATCTACAGTGACATTGCTGTATGCTATAATAGCATTAAATATTACCAAAAGAGAAACAAGATACGTTTAAATACAGCAGCATGACAGAAAATGCAATAATTATTATCAAACTTGTAATATCGATTAATGATATTATTGAATTTGTAATAATTCGAATTGCTGTCTTGCCACGGTAAAAATTTGACACGCGATGTGTTTGGATGAGTTTCGAAAAATGTCACGTGTCCGTGCCAAATTCGTGCATGGGTGTGGCTAATGAAACGCGAGGACAGTGGCGTTGAAAGTGGTTCTTATAGGTGATCCAGATGTAACAAATATCACTTTCCCTCGCAGTCTGCTGAATCTCATTTCGAGTGTCAGCGTTCAATCCTGTTTCTTTAAAATCTAGCCTCGTTTTTGAGTGATAAATATTCCGAAGAATAGCGGGACTTCTTTTTTTTTTCTTTTTATTACGCACACTTTCACTTACTTGCAGCAACAGTAATGTAATCGTGGTACAGTCACACGAATTCGTCTCGTATAATACACAGCGACTTACTCGATCATAATTACTGGGAAAAAATTACTCATTGGAGTGCATCCAGGTTGGCATTGCTGAGAGATATTTTGAGCAAACCTGTTCTCATATGGCCCATTTTTATACGCAGCTTTAAAAAATGAGATAATTGTGCTTTCGTGACGTCAAATCCTTACACCATGTACGCCGAAAATTACTACTCGTCGACATGCATCCCAGATGCATGCATAATCCTTTGACAAGTCAATTATAAATTTTTTAGACGGAATATGATAGAATAACTACGACCTGCTCTGTGCCTTGACACTGGAAATCGATTTTAAATTATGCATTAAAAATATCGAGAGACTGTTGTACAGAGAATGATAGATTATATCGAGAAACGACAGAGAATTGGCAATATCAACGTGATTTTTACAATTAAGAGATTATCGTAGTTACAGGGTGGTTGTTACTAGGAAGTATATATTTGATAAAGGCCATTGTCGCGGCCAATTACGAAAATACGCGAAAGTTCGTGATTAATAGTGCACGGTGCAGAGATTTCGCTTCACCTAACAGCACGTGCTCTGTTGACAGCGCGACGAGATTGATAATCACGTGGAAAGGAAGCCGGAAGTTGTTGCGAACGTCTCTTTTTACCATTGAACCTTGCTATCGCGAAATCTCATTCACGTTTAAATTTTCGAAAGGACTACTGCAGCCATCCTGCAAAATTACAATAATTTGAAGAAACGTAAAATGATGCTGCAACAGCGTCTCTAGAAAGCAGCATAATTACGAAGAGAATTACGAAAAATTCATCTTGCCACGATAAAAATTCACGAAGATACTCTGTACCTATATTTTTTAATTCCTACATGAGAAATAACAAGAAGCCTAAAAATTCTATTTAAAATTGTAAAAGTATAATTTTCTTTAAATTCCTTGCGTAGTTTTTAACACGGCGCCATTTGTGCCTTTTTTTCCATTTTTATATCGATCACTTTCACATTTTCACTAATCCCCATGCTTCGCAGAATTCGAGGACTTTCGGAAGTCGTTGAAGGAGATTATTCCGCCTCTTCAGTTCGTGGTTTCTGTGGACGACCCTGGACAGACGCTGAGAACTTCCGGCACAGTTCGTCAAGAGATCATCGCTCGTTTGATCGGAGTTTTGAAAGAGGCAATTCGCATTTCTGCTCTCCACCGCCGCGAAAATCTTCCTCTTCTTTTCCAACGAGGTTAATCTGTTCCCACAGGTTGATGGAGTCGAATTGAACATGACTGCAGGGACTAAGGAGCGTCTGGTCCAGTTCGTGACGGACCTAAAAGACGAACTGACGAGAAAATCCTACGACAAGAGAATCTTCTTGGTCCTACCCACGAAATCGGAAGACATGGCGAAGCAATTCGATCTGAAGAAATTATCAAAGTAAGAATTCCCCTATTTTACTCGATACGATAAGAAATTTTAACGAATATGGAATTATTCAAAATTAGACAATTAAAATATAATTATTATTCGTTAGAATTTTTTTCGAACGATTTTCAATGATCCATCTTTTTGAATTAAAACTAAATTAAAATTCGACAAATTATTGATACATCGAAGACACGAAAAATAATGCAAATTACGAATATTCTGTATCGTCACTAAATTATCAAGATGTAGACACGTAAAACGTTCTCTAGCACGTGTTCACCTATGAACCTTGTCAGTCACTAATCATAGAAGACACTCGTGGCAAAAGTAAAAATATCCTACACTACAGAAGCTATGGTAAAAGGACGATGGAAGTATGAAAATTGCGATATTGTCGCTGTCTCTTTACAATTAAATACCACCACGACACCTTTCCACTTTCCTCGACAGGTGCAACCCTGTCACGGCTGTTGCCTTTTCCAGCGTTCAAAAATCCGTCAAGGAACCTCGTCTGCGCCTAACCCAGACCTAAGCCAGACACGTTCCACGAATCCCGTCGTCGGTGTAGTTAAGTCCATGAAATATTGGCCGACAGGTTAAGTGAAAACGGATTCAGTAAAAACTACTTGTCCATGTTCGGCGTATCTGCCTAACCTTGTGCCAATTGTCGGCTCGATAGCGCGCGAGGAATGCCACGACGAGCCGATGCACCATTTGATCGTACGATTGTCCGCGGATTTTCACGCGCCTCGCAATTAGCGGAACGTCCGTTCGACAGTCGACGATTCCGATCGGTATTTTTTCATTGAATATGGATGAGAACTCGGGTGCAAGGAACGGGTTGACAGGGAATGCGAATGAGATCGACGACAGGCCGTCGCGTCGCGGCGCGGCGCGTCGATTGTGACAGAGGGAACGCCGATGCGTGGAACGATCGGTTGCTTCGTGCGGGTTTTATTGCTAATAAAATTCCGGGATGAAAGGTTTCGAAAAATGTCAAGGAACTTGTTCGCTTCGCTTTCTTCGATTGTGCGGAGAACTTCCTTTTGTAATTCGAATTTCACTTGTTTAACACGTCGAGTGCTGCGTCAGTCTCTGGGGTCTGACAGTAGACGTTTGGCCGGTGTGCATTCTAGAGATTGACAGCGAACTTTTCGTTTGGTCGACATCGATACGTGAGATCGACATTGTCAAGGGTTAAATTATTCATGACAATTAATATATTATAAAAAGTAAATTCCCTCTGCTGAAATCTTTACACTTCTCTGGCTTTTTTGACTGATCGTCTCTTGGTGATCGGCTTTTTGCCTTTCTGTTATTCCCTATTCTATTATCTTCTGTTTATAATTTGTATATTTGTACATTGGCTGCACCATTCTCACAGTCCAAACGACAAAGTGAGACAAAGTAATCTTCTGTTCATACTTCTCAGTACATTTGAGTGCATGCATAGTGCTCATGCACACTCGCTGGCGTCTGAGCGGAAAGTATAGCAAAGTCGGTGCCGCACTCAATGTGTTAATGAATCTTCGAACGAACCACGCAGTTCGAACTCTGAGCGAGAGTTGACTCCTGATATTTTGATATCATATTTTTGTATTTCGATTGTCCGATACGTTTGTGCGTCTCGTCGAATAATCGTGGCACAGCGAGAATAGGAATTGAAGGTGCGAGTTGGGCAAGAGCGAATACCAGGAAAGCATGTCGATGATTCTCGCATAGTACACGGATATTTCATTGAATATGGATGAGTTTAGGGTACTCGGAGCGGTTCTTGAAATATGAATGAGATCGTTCTGAATGTGCTCACCAGGCTACACATTGTGGCAATCGTAATCAGCTTATGAGGCACGCAGCGCGTTGCACGGGATGATTACGTTGTTTCGAAACGCGAACAGACGTTGGTGTATTTTCAGAAATGATTCATGGTATTCTATAAATCGACTGACCACTTTTCTCTCTGTGTTTTTTCTCCCTTTTTAGCTCATTCTTGCCTGTAAACGCGCGTTCATGCAAATTTTCATCGAGTTCCGTGTTTTTGTCGACAGGTACGTGGATCTATTCACCATCCCGACGCACTACCTGATCGAAGATGACGAGGCCTATCGCACTTTCCATCCGTCACGATTGATGGGTCTCTTCGACATGTTCAACGCGGACAGCTTGATCGACTTAATCAGCGGATTGGGCGCACCTAAGAGAAAGATCCTGATGTCATTGCCAGCCAATGCCTACGAGTTCACGCTGAAGGATCAGGACGACAATGCCCCAAGGGCTCCAAGTGAAGAGATGCAGCCGGTTATCATTGATCAGAAACAGGTGTGAAGCTCGTGATGTTTGCGGCCAGGTTTACTGACACTCGCCGAGTAAATGGAACAGAAGGATATCATTCGGATACTTGATCGAATCGATGCATTATCGATTTCTACTTTATCGTTCCATTGTATCGCACGTTTTATTTCAGCTGTGCGATCTGATGAAGGGTGGAGAATGGACAGTGGAAAGAGACGAAGACCTGACTGCTCCTTACGCTTTTAAGGACAAAAAGTGGATCGCTTTTGAAGATAGGATATCAGTTGCGATAAAGGTTGGGAATTTTCGTTGCCGTTTTCGATTATGTGAAAATATTTTCTGAAAATAATCGATTGTTCCACCTGGTATTTTTTAGGGGAAATACGCGCTGCTTCGTGATCTTCCAGGATTGGCGATACACGATATAGAGAATGATTACAAAACCGATTGTGGTATGACTCTCACGCATAATATTCATCATTCCTTCTCGGATTTCAAGAGGAAATCGAGAGCTGCTGTTTTGAATGCTTTGGAAGATGATTTACACGTAAATGAATATAATTATGATAATTATTCTTATTAACATTGGTTAACATAATCAGTTCTCTTTGGTAAATGGAATATTTTGTAAAAGATGTTACGATTTTTATTAATAATGTTTCATTTAATTTGAATTCGATTGAATGTTCTAATTATGATAAAATAATTTTCATTTGTCGAAAGTTTGCGATATTAATGCTACAAGTTCGGCTAAAACCTTCATTGGTACGCCACCTTTTGGTGAAAGTCAAAATCACGAACTATGTATCAGTAGATGGCAATGCATAGCTGATTAGAACATTGTTCAAATCGATTTCAACGATTGATGAAGTTAAATTATTTTCATATATTTTATGAAAAATTCTATTCATTGATGAACAATCAGTGAATAGAATGCTTATGATTTCTTAGTGTTATGACTGTTTTACAAAATATTCAAATAATTAATAATTTATAATTTTAGCAAAAAGAACTTGAATATCCAACCAAAGTCAAATCGTCCGACTTTCGAGTTGTCCGTGTGGTAGACACGGAAGGACACATCAGAGTAGTTCGCGAGAACACTCAAACCGAGTTCACCTGCTCCAGACAAGGCTACTTTGTTCATCCTAAGAGTTGTAATAGGTAAATAAATATTTACCTTAAATTGATCTTTGCTCGGATCTTCTTAATAACCGTTCTCCTGCTCAGGTTCTATCGTTGCGTTAAATTCAACCAAGAAGTGGAGGACTATTCGGTGTTCGAGTTTGATTGTCCAGCAGGTTTATCTTTCGATGAGCGTACAGAAGTTTGTGTTTGGCCAGGATCCATGCCCGAGGGCTCTCCGTGTCCTGGAAGCAGTGAAATTGCACCTGTAGCACGTGTAAGATTCGAGTGTCCTGCTAAGTCTGGTTACTATGCGGATCCTCAAAATCCCCGTTGGTTCTTCGCCTGCATTGATTTAGGTTTATATCTTTCGCTCAAAGAATTTCTAATTTTCTATCAAACGAATGCGATCACTGATTGAAAATTACGCGATAGGTGGTCCTGAAATAATGGCTTACGAGTTCCGATGCCCGTTCGGACTGATCTTCGACGAGCAAAAGCTAGTTTGCGAGTGGCCCTGGTTGGTAGTTGGCTACAGTGGCACTGATTATACGAGATCGCAATATGACAACAGAGTATACGGTACTGGGTCTACCCCAGGCACTGGTGGATACTACACAGGTGGATTACCTCATGGATACACGGGAACGGCGGGAGGAGGGTACACTGTCTCGACAGGTGATATAGGACATGCTGGAGTTGGATACACCGGTGATCATGGATCGGCGTTCGGGCAAGGAACAGCTGGAACTGGACACACTGGATCAGCCACTGGTGGAACATCCTATACTGGTCAATTACCTGGTGGTTATACTGGAGCAACTGGAACTGGCTATTCTGGAGCAGCTGGAGTAGGTGGCCATAGAACTTCTTACGGTGGCCAAGGATCTGGTGTGTACACTGGAACAACTGGAAGTGGCTACTCTGGAGCAGCAGGAGCAGGTAGTCAGGGAACGACGTACGATGGTCAAGGATCTGTATATACTGGAGCAACTGGAAGTGTGTATTCTGGAACAGCTGGAGCAGGTGGTCATAAAACTTCCTACGGTGGCCAAGGATCTGGTGTGTATACTGGAACAACTGGAAGTGGCTATTCTGGAGGTGCAGGTGGTCAGGGAACGGCGTATGGTGGTCAAGGATCTGGTGTGTATACTGGAACTGGAAGTGGCCAGTCTGGAACAGCAAGAGCAGGTAGTCAGGGAACGACCTATGGTGGTCAAGGATCTGGTGTATATTCTGGAACAACTGGAAGTGTGTATTCTGGAGCAGCAGGATCAGGTGGCCATGGAACTCCATACGGTGGTCAAGTGCCTGGTGGCGGCTCAGGAACTACTGGGGGTGGATTCCCTGGATCAGGAGCGAGCCAAACTGGAACTGGTCACGAATATTCAGGAACAATTGGTACTGGTCAAGTATCTACTGGTATAGGCTATACCGGAGCAGGAAGCATCGGGCATTCGGGAACAAGCGGAGTATATACTGGAACAACTGGTACAGGTTACACACCTGATAAGGGACATTCCGGACAAAGTCCAATTGGTCACGGTACTGGATCGGGATCTATCGATGGAGGATATTCTGGAGCAACGGGTGGTGTTCACGGAGGATCTAGTGGAGGATATGTAGGAACAAGTGGTATTCATGGAGGATCTACTACAGGAATATATTCAGGTACAACGAGTGGTGCTCATGCCGGGTCCACTGGAGGATATGTGGGACCAGGTGGTGTTCATGGAGGATCCACTGGAACAAGCTACACAGGACCTGGTGCTGGAGGATATACAGGCTCAAGTGGTGCTCATGCGGGAGCTACTGGAGGATTTTCAGGAGGAAGTAGTGGAACTCCGATCATTGTGACGGAAGATTACAGTGGATCAGGAATAAAAGGAGGCAGCTACCCTGGTTCATCTGGTGCACAATATCCACAACAGGGATCAGCGATACCAGGATCCACAGGAACAGCTGGACACCCCTATCCTGGGCAAGCAGGATCAAAATATCCGGGATCTGGTTTGGGAGGTCATGGTGGATCTTCGATACCTGGAAAACCCAACATATTTGGTACTCAACCAACGCAAACGCCCATCTACGCAAGCTCTGGTATAATTGGAACTGGTATAGATTCTAGTGGAGTAACTGGCATATATTCACAAACTCGTAAGTCTATCTTCTAAAAGTATTATCTGGTAGTCTTTACTCGAACCTGCTTAAAAGCTTTAATATATTCTTACTTACCATGCAGCTGGACCTGTTCTCGTGGAGAAGCCTAATCAGCCAACCTGCATCACATGCTACTGGCCTTCACAATCACCAGGTGGCCAAACCTACGGAACAGATATTTCAGGTCATGGAGTTACATCTGGAACAAGTATTTATCATGGCACCAGTGGAGGCAGGGGAAGCCTGAATACTACTTCATATATAGGTCACGTACCTTCCATCGGAAGCACAACGTATCATGGAGGTGTTACACCAACCAGTGGCTACAGCGTTACAACAGGAACAGGAGCAGGTGCTATCGTGACAGGACACGGTATTCAGGGAACAATTATCACAGGAGACTCTTCACAAGGAACACTTATCACCCATGGAGGTACTTCTGGCACGGTCTATACAGGTTCATCTGACCAAGGTAGTATAATAACTGGAGGTGACCACCCAGGCTACACGAAAACTGGCCCAGGCACACCTGGCTACGTAATTAGCGATGGAGTCAAAACTGTATACTCTGGTTCAGCCAGCCCTGGAACTGTAATATATGGAACACCTTCACCAGGTGTCGTAGTAACTGGAGCACCAGGTGCTGGAACTATCATAAAAGGTCAAACAGCTCCTGGAGTAGTACTCACGGGACAAACAGCTCCTGGAATAGTTCTCACGGGACAAACAGCTCCTGGTGTAGTTCTCACGGGTCACACAGCTCCTGGAGGATACGATTCAGGTTATTCGACAAAACCAGGTGGTGTGACTCCAGGATCTTCCTACGGAAACAAAATTGGAGGTGTGGTATCGACTTCTGGCACTGGTTACAAGACCAACGAATATTACGACAATGGAGGTCGCGGTACGATTAGGTTTAACAATGGCGACGTGACCACGAAGTACACTGAGAACGACATTCCAGACTACAGACCAGCTGGTGGCACAATTCCACCAGATACTCTTCTTCCTGGTAGCAAAGATAGTTCAATTTCTACTGGATTCGCTAATACTGGACCTACCAAGACAAGTTTCACCCCTATCACCCTGGGAGCTGGCCACGGCTACACATTTAGTACAAGAAAACCAAGTCTTACTTCTAATACCGAGAATATTGGCGCGGAAGCATTCGCAGGCAATGTGGCAGGATACACAAAATCTTCTACTGAAAGTTCTACTGAGGTTTATTCAGGAACGACTTTAGCACACGGCCTAGACATCGCTCAGAGACCTATTAATTTAGGGCCTTCAAAGGCTACTGGCTATTCCTATCCTACCCCTAGCATTCCGTTCGAAACGGGAGTGACCAAGATATTACCTATTGCTTCGACAGAAAGCAATATAATCGGCACAGCTACTCCAACACCATTCTTGAACGTTGAACTGTATAATACGCCAGGATTCGGTGATTCTGGATCAATCGGTTCATCTACAGTTGTGAACACTTATCAGAAGCCATCTGGTTTTACAAATGCACCAGTTCCAACTGTTACACCAGTTGCATCGATATTCAATATTCCAACAAGACAACATCCTTTGAAAGAACCGGTATGATTTGAAGAATTTGTTGACTTAAAACTACAACTCCATTGGTACGCGACTAGTTAGAATAACGTTAATGGGATTTTTCAGTTCGTTTTGGGTTCAGCCATCACCCCAGCGGCTGGCTTTGTTCACACTTCCACCCCGGAGAATGCGTTTGAACAAAGCGTGACACCCTCCGGCGTCACAAAGTTACAGAAACCACAGGTGATTTTCTAAAAATTCTTTATACACTGTTATAATTCTATTTAATGTCATTCTGTAATGATATTAAAATTTCAGTATGTGCCTGGTGATTCCATCTTGCCAACGGGCGATATAACTTACCAGAAACCATTCCAGCCTGGTGTCACCTATCAGCAATCGATACTGGTCCCAGGAGATGGTTCGAGAACGTACGCAAGTGGACAACCCGGTTACACTGTTTCATCGGGCAGCAGCGATGGTTCACCTACAAACGTAGACATTCCTAGAAACGAGGTCGGCAAACTCATTACCAACTACAACAGAGGCACCACCAAATACGTTCCAAATAAATACGATATTTACACAACGGGGTCCATCTCTGGAGCCGATTACTCCAGGACTCAATCTTCCTCATCCACGATTCGTCAGGGTTACGGTCCATCGACACCATCCTCAGTCACTAGAACGCAATCACCTTTCTCAGTGACGACTTATTCCGGAGGATACTCGAGACCAACTTCCATTACATCTTATCAAACCACTGCCAAGTCGACAGCCGTAGGCAAGGCCAAGGTGATCGTGAAATGGAGCGATCTGCACCCTCTACTGCTCGGAAAACTCGGTGCAGAGTGCACCTGCAGAGGAGATCCCTTCGCCAATCTCAGAGGTCCCGGTTCCAAGTTGATCAACTCGTCAAAGGGCAAAGTAGACCTGTCCAATTATGACGAGTCAGAGATTTACGTAGACCTCGAAAAGGATGGGTCAAACGAGAGCGAAGACTATGCTACCAACTACGACTCCTCTGTGACAAAGCCAATAAAGGTCTGGAACAATCAAATCGCGCAACTTCTGAGCTCCTCGAGCAGCCAGGCCCAAGAGACTCTATCGTCTAGCTATCTACCTAGCATCACTCCTTCCTCGAACCTAGGTGCTCGCGCCAGCGTCTCCGGATTCTCCAATCGCGGACACACTGCCAATTTCAGATCTGCTAAGAGTCTGAGCAACGTTGCATCCCCGACCAACTCGATCGGAATTGCCAAAGACTTCGGCTCTCCTGTGGATCGTTTGTCAGGAGACGGCGAGTCGGAAGAGATCATCGATGGGGCAACCAACTGCGCCAGACCAGGTCTGTTCAGACACCCTAACTTCTGCAGCAAGTTCTACGCCTGCCATTGGGACGAGTGGAAGAAGAAGTTCACGCTCCACGTGTTCAACTGCCCTGTGCATTTAACTTTTGACAACGGCGCAGGCGCCTGCAACTGGCCTAGCATGGGTCCAGCCTGCCAGGACGATAATCTGTTAGTCTAGATGCTTCACTGTCGACGGATCTCGGATATCGCGGCACATTCTCTTCTTCTTCTCATCTCTTTGAGAAAGTAGGAAACGAAGATTCGAATGCAGGGAGTGTGACAGAGTTTAGGGTAAACTCGTTACCTCGAGAAGGCAATTTTGCGAATATCTATCCGGTTAATCTTTGCTATACTCTGCGCAGAAGTATTAATTCTTTATGACAACTTTCTGGAGGAAATTAATTTTCCAAAGAAATATTACGATGATCACCGATTTTGATCTATTTTGATCTTCGTCTGGAAACCATTGTCTCTTCGCGATGATGAGTTTCTTTCGGTTTCTTCGCAATTTTTAGCGTACATTGTATACATTTGAGTACATGTGATAGGTTATATCGACAGAGCAGAGTTGAAAGGTATCATTGTAGTAGATGACTATTCGGATTCTGCGACGAAAGACACAAGGCGTGAGGTAACGTTTAATTATAACGTGGTAACGGTTCACGTTCAGGTTCTTTTTACCATTGAGACACGTGGAACGGGCATAGCAGAATGCTTTCCCGAGGTAACGAGAATGGGGAGACAAAGAGGAAGAAAGATCCAAGGCGATCGAGGTGCCGCGACGCGAAAGCACACTGTCCGGAGTGAAAGTCAAGCTGTGCTCGCCGATCCAAATCGCGAGAGAGAAGCCGATGGTGTGTGCGATTCGATGTCGCCGACGAATCGTTGTAAATAACGTCCCCTACTCTTCCAAATTTTGTAAATAACGACGAGTTACCCCTTTTTGGAAAATTGAAACAGCGAGAAAGAGCAAGAAACTGGGACCAAAAAAAATGGTAAAATTAGGCCAAGAAATTGAGTAAAAATACTCGAGATTCAGACATGTCTTTTAACCCTCTATGATCCTGAATAATATAGAATTTACATGATCGGATATTTATATTTTACAAATTTTTTTTCTGTTTTATTATTCTTTTTTGCAAACACTTTTATCGTCCAGTCAAGTATTCTTGGCAATTTGTTTTTATTTTATAAATTAAAATGAAAAATGGTGTGATCGATTATAATTATGTTTCGCAAATGAAATAAGATTTTTCATCGTAGGGGGTTAAATAGTAATCATATAGCGTCTGTGTTAATCGTCGTTGACCAATTAAATTCGACTGGATCTTACTTTTACAATTCGAGAAACTCATTGGCGATTTATATTTGTATATATTTTAGAGAGGTATATCGATATCGATGACGCGATTCGTGCAATTGATGTATCCCTTCAATTCGTTTACTTTCTTTTCCGGATTTCTCTGTGCTTCCTGTCAATGACGGGAAGTGAATTTTAAACGTTCTTTATGCACTACTTAAGCTTGCCTTGATTCTGTGTTCATCTCTCGTTCCTATCTCTACCTACCACTTTCCAGCTTCCTCTCGATGCAATTATTATTTATTTGCCGCTTGTTACTACTAGGAGTTAAGGGTATATTACGATAAATCCTTGCGAGATCGACGATCGTTTTGCGTCCACGAGAATCTCTTTTTATTGTCTCTCTTGCACACTTAGGTCGAAGCTTCGATAATCGTGCCATTTTATCGTGGTTGTCTAATGTAATATTACGAACTTAGAATAAATATGATAATTGTACAAAAACTTATGAACCTTGCAAGTTGCACCTTCCATAAATCCAATTAATTTTTTGGAATACTTTAATTATTACACGAATAACTATAATATAGTTATTACACGACTTATTACACGATAATGAGTTATACGATCCTTCTTCCGCCTTACTGAATAGAAAAAGGAACACGTTTGTCATTTGTTTATACAGCCCGAGGCTAAACTTTCGTTTGTTCCATATAAGAGAGGTGTGGTGACTTTCCACTTAATGACGAAGACGTTCGTTTAATCACATTGACCTCCTAAATGAAATTCTCAATAAGGAGAACAAGCCTGCGAATTACTAAAGATATACCTTAGATCGGCACAGCAGTCCCCAAACGACGTTATAAATTACCGCATCACCCAAGAATTTTGCAAGTGTCTACCTGAAATATTAAACTTTTAATCACTATAACTCCGTCGATATTTTTATTGCATTTTCTCAGGGAAATTATGCACGTCGATTATCGATGATGAAATATTTGCAATAATTAAGTACCGCGATTTTATATCCTATAACCTCGATAGATTGAAAGTCGTGTCTGCCGCGCATAATTCATACACCACGAAGGGCGTTGAGTAGAAACGTGAGTAATCAAATTCTACATCGGACAAATGGCGTGCAAATTACTCCTTTCGCTATTTTATCGAATCGAGAAAGTCATTTTTCGGAACATTCGAAGACGACCATCATCGAGGACCCCCTCCCGTTCGACGTGTGACACTAATTAATAGTTCCAATAGCGATGTTGTTAGCATAGAAAGTAGTATGCTAAATAAAGGGAAAAGAATAGGCACAAAATGCAGTTTCTCTACGTTAACCGCAATTGCCGGAATGATAAGCTACGATCACACCTAGTCGCATGATTTTCACCACTTATAATGATTCGCTCTTGTGTCTAATGGCCAGATCGACGTGAATTTTTAGGTTATGAGAGAAAACCAGCGCGATAGACTTACTTTGCGATACGATACTAATTTTTTGTGAATCGAATCGTGAAAAATAATTGGAACGTTGTAGTAAATCGACAGGTGCAAATTTCTGCCGTTTATTCCATCGCGGAGGAATCGAAAGTATCAAAAGCCGACCTGTCTAAAATTCCGCAGACACGTTAGATAATTCTCGTCGGATGAACGAAGAAAGTTTGCTATTCATGGACACTATGCGAATAAAATATCTTCCATTTTTCTTCAATCGGGTTTCCAGTCGACGTTTTCGACTTTTAAGACGTCCCATTTCCCACAGACAGAAACCAAGAGCCCGTGCAGGAGAAGGAATGAAAATGGAGGTCGCTAGAAACGAACTCTGTCTCCGGTGACCCACTGATACATTTTCATCGACTCCGCAAGTGGGAAACGGCTCGCAAACGGGTCTGTCTTATTTCGTCCTTTATTTATGATGTAATTACCCACAGATATACAAAACGTATTCACCTTTCTCCTCGCAAAAGTTTCACGTTTACGTCACGGATTTTTAAGTCGATTTTATTTCATCGAACTACCGAGATAGCGCACAACTAATTTACGTAAGATCAGTGCATACCGTGTTCGTTACAAAACAGAAGCGACTGCACGAAGCACAGGAGGAAAGTAATTGTTGAAGAAGGAAGAAGGAAGAGACCGTGGAGTTTTGATTCATGGAATTTCCTTTAATAACAGGCCCCCATACGAGCTACTGGCTTTCGTCGTCGCAATTGCGTCTTCATGCTTTCGTGTCGTTTCGGGTCCTTTCTAGCGTAATTCAAGGATTACGCAAAACTTGTACGTTCCCTGAGAGGAAGAGCAGTTGCCTGACGAGATAGAGCTACGCACGATCTTCTCTCGAAACGAGATATTCCTCGTGTAATATCCAGTGATCAGAATGGTCAATAACTATCGGTAAATTAATTGTCGAATCGATCGAATACACCAGACAAATGCTGAAATTTATTTTAAATATGAAGAGCTAAGTAAGGAAGAAAAATTAAAATTTTTAATATTTTCAAATTCTAAGAGAGTTAATTATGTAAGCCTATGAACAGTTGGATTATATCACGATTTCGAAGATACTTCTATTTTTATGAGCATTTAGAACTATTACACCAATATTTAATAATTTTCGTCACAGTCGAACTGAATAATTTGAGATAAAAAGATATCTCAGACGGAAACAACGTGTTTATAAATTTGTCAGAATTTAATGTTAATTATCTGTTCTATGTGTAGGTTGGAATTCTAGGTTAAAAAGTGTCGAAATCGGTGATGAAGAATTAAGATAAAGTTGTAGATGGAAGTGAATCGATATCACTGTGTCACATAACGTATCTAGTTTAAATAACACGTTTGAAAGCTTGAATGATCGCGTCCAGGTTTGCTGGCAAAAATCGAGAGTACTTTCAGAAACATGTAGAACCAGTGAACGCAAAGTGGAGGAATAGCTTGATATAAAGGAGATAACGCAAACCGAAAGCCAAAGTGAAAGTTATTTTTTCGTGACACATAGCAATCGATATCATAGCCATCGTTCCGATCGGGGATTAGCCGTGCCGAATTTTGCATACATTACCATGCGATTTTTTAGCGAGGAAATATTTTCGAGGCTCGTGCTTCGAAGGAATGGAATAAATTATGCTGCATCGGCAATTGCATAAACGCGTGTGTACATATACAGAGCAGCAAGATTGAATAACCGATGTTCCCGGTGTTAGATCACTGATTCACGAAGCGACATCGCGAGTGCGATCGAATTACTAGGATAAAGTCGAGATAATTTCGCAAAATCGCCGATCGTTAATAATTCCATCGCGAAAGCGGGAATAATTGAATTATCGAGCGTGTACACGGTTAATTACCCCGCGATGTCCCAGTTACCATTGTGCTTAATTCCAACGACGCCATTCTGTGTCAGCAGAGAAAATTCATTTCTATTCTCGTTAAGTCTACTCATGGAATCCCCTAAGTAATTTCAAATGTAGATCCCCTCTATTACACGCGTATTAAACGATCATGGTCTCCAATTTGAAATGTCGCTTGAAAAACCAGAATAATAACGCTCCTTCAGACGGATATAGAAATTTATTCATTATTCATGCCAGTTCGAGACAATGATTAGTCGAACAGTTGTACACTTCCGTAGGTCGAAGTGTTATCTGTTGGACATAGCATTGCAACAACTTATTCTGTGTAATATACCGTGATCACGTGCGAGTATCATTTCTAAATACTCAAACTGTCGACATCGCGCTCTATTTCTGCCCAAAATCTTTCAAATTTCATTTTCTTTTATTTCAATTAATTATTTCCTATTACGATTACAAGCGATCCACGTATTCGATTAAAATCGAATTCTATTCGAAATATCATGGAATAAATTCCAGGTAGCTATAATATTCGACTTAACCTAAATAAAGTTATGGTACTCAAAATTCGTAATCCCTGGAATATTTTTTTCTTTTTTCGATTGCACGAGAGGGATAAACTTTGAGCATAATATAGATTGGTATGGAAGAAGTACACAGCTACTTAACACGGTATCGAAAAGCTTGCCAATCTGGGCTTCCAGTAATCCGACTGTCACTATCTACACACTCGATTATGCCTAACTAACATTGGCAGAAAGGAAGAGAGAGACAGAGGAAGAGAGTGGGGACATAAGACCATAACACTTGACACGAGGAAAGGAAAGGAACGAGACGAGGGACTTTGCTAAGGAACCCCTACCATCTGTAAAGCCGAACTAACACTTCGAGGGAGCAAAGATATTGGAGGTGGCCTCAAGACCAAGCTGTCCGGGCTCCAAGGTAATATAAAGGCGTACGTCGACTTCACCTGGTTCAACTTACCTGGGACACCGAACAGCTGCACTGTCCAGCAAGACCGAGAACGTCCGTCACTGCCACACCACCTTCTACCATCATGTGAGTCCCTCTGAATAATCAATTCTAATATACCTGGTACTTATTTCATATTAGAAATTCGTTTAATTAGAATTCGCATATTTTTCTCCTACTCGTTACATAAGTTTAGAAAAAGAAATTTTTGGATCACGAATTAAATTTATTTTGACGACCAGCGAATAATTATTTTAATCATTCGCGTAATTAGAGAAGAATTCTGATGATTTGTAATGGGTATACCCAAGAATTGGGATTTTCTTAATTAATAATTAATTTTCTTTTTTTTCTTTTTTTTTTAGTAGTATAGTATATTTACGAAGAAGCGTTTCTAGAAAAAAAATAAATAAATTGAGGACTTCCAAAGAATTATTATGTCGATTTTATAAAGTTTCTTATGTTTTGCAACGATTTAATGATATGTCTGTCGTATCGATAAATAAATTTTTGTTTTTACTCTTATCGTACAAGCTTGGAATAATTTAAAGATATCTGTCGAGGACATTTCCTTCGCGTTGCTCGAATTTTTAATTCGAAAGCAGTCAAGGATTTTCGAAGATATTTTAACATGGTTGCAGTATCGAAGATTACTCCAAAAAAAAAAAAATATATATATATATATTCGATTAATTAATTTTAAGATTTTGCACGCTCGTGTTACTTCTCGAATTTTTCACTCGAAGATTACCGGAAAATTCAGAAATAAAAATACGGCCATTCGTACCTTTTGTTTTCGTTCGATGATAAGAAATGTTTTGAGTGCGACAAGGAGATCGTGCACCATACAGTCGCACTTTACCTTGCGAATTTATATACCGCGATAAATGGATCACGTTGCACACCGCGTTATCGTGTATGCA